TATGAGACGTATCTCAAACTATACATATCGCGGCAGATATTGTCAGGGCAACATCAGCCCTCAGCAGACTGCAGCGCGCTGTCTATCAAAACGGCAACCCTCCGAAGATATGTGTGAACGGATAGACAGAGTGGTATCCGAGACACGCATACCTTGGGCGAAATCGAAATGGGAAGGTTTTCTAAAGTATTGCGGCGGCTCGTTGCTTAAACACACTCAATTGTGTGCACACAGCCTCTTACAGCTTGGTCGGTGGGCGCACTGCTGAGCGGCACGGGAATAAGATGATCCGAGCGCTCCCCGCCAATCACCTGCAATCCATCCAAACCGAATTTAACCAAAGAAATCTCTTTATTTCAATGTGATGACTTTGAAGTCATCATGAGGTTCGTGTGATACCTTCTATACGAATCAACTGGAGCTGTTCTGTCTCACCGACGAATGAGGACAACTAGCTGAATCATTTGCGAGCAGTTTCGCAAGTAAAAAATAATCAGAAGTTCTATTTCTCTCATCAAGCCTTTGTTTCCGAATGAACGGCGTATTGAATAATCCAAAATAGCTACTACATTAATAATGGCCAGCAGCGAGGTCACATTTGGATCATCGCAGCTACGCCTTCGACGAATTGTGCTTTAATTGCATCTTGTGCTGTTAAAATGTTACTAAAAGATTCTAGGGGAACATAAATGGAGATTACAACACAACAGCAACCCAAACTGAGAGATACTGATGCGAGCACACAGTTACGGTTATCTCAGGAACTATGCATGTAAGCGGTCAATTAGTGCGTCGTCACTAGCAACGCCAACGAAAAAAATACGAACGAGGCAGTCTTCTTTTTGGATTTTTTTTGATTTGAATTCACAGAGTTCCCTATCAAAGAATTCCAGTTTTCAACTGCTCTCAATATATTTTTATTTAGCACTTGACTCGGCAACTACTCGCTCAGATTATCACAATATTTGGCTTCATCTCATGAAGATTACTTGGAACGGAATTAAAGCACCTTCATGTAACTGGCAAGACTTGAACCAGCGTTAAGACATAGCAACGACAGCATTTCGGTCGCACGCACGATGCAATCGATCGTACGGGCGATCGCGTAACGCGCGTCTAACTCGCGCTTCAATGCTAAGCTTGGATGAGCCGCTGCTACTTCAACGATCTATTCACTTATTTCTAGCTTTGTCCTCTGTGTCTTCTAGCTTTCATTCTAGTCCTTCCACTCATTCTTTTTCTCGTTCCGTTTTTACTATTTATTTCGTCTGTTTTCATCGTTTTGTTTCTTCTTTTGAACAGATTTTTCGGATGCATGGTCTTCGTTGATTGCACACAGGTGCTTGATTGCTGAGGTGAGGTTTCCAATTTAGTGTAGATTTGATTCGCTTTCTTATTCTTTAGAACTACATGTGCTTGATAGCCTTGTTCCTAGCCTCGTTTTCCGCTTTTTTGGTCCTTTCGCGCGGGTCATTCTTTCCGAAGGTGAGTAGTGGTTCTTCAATTACTTTTCCTCTTTGCTATAATGTAGTGATGTTGATGCCCGTGTATCTATGTATCTCATAACAAAAAATTTTTCCAGATTCATTTTATTTTTGTTCATTATTCTTCCCTGACACATAGTGTTCAATGAGAAGAAATGAGAGGAAAATAAGAGACTAATATGAGAGCCAAAAGATAGAGGAGACAAAAAGAGAGAAACAAACGATTGTGTCGTTGTTGTAGCAGCGTTCCTTCGATTTTAGCAATGGAGCGCGACCGAAACGCCGCTGCTGCGAAGTCTGAACGCTGTCCAAGGATCTTGGTAGCATCAAAACATCCACTGCAGTATGAATCATTGTAAAAAGAAGTGCACATATCCAGCAGGGAATGAGAATTATACCAATAACGAGAAATTTTGCATTTCCATGCCAGATTATGTCCGGGTTTTCGGGGTTATTGCGTTTGCATCAAATTGTCACGTTTTTACGTTTTTTTTGCGATTGGGAAATGGGCTAGGAGTTATCGCACGCAAATTAACTTGAAATAGGCATTCAAATCAAATAAGGACATGGAAGAACTCTAAAAGCGCAGCTGCTACCACTAGCAAAGGGATACAAGCAGCCCGCGTCTAGCATGAGGTCAAATAGCGTACCTCTGGGTCCTAAAAATATATCAGAAAGGAGATATGACTCAACGAAACTGAAACTTGCTACTACTACGCGTTTCCTAGATTCCACGCAGTGTAAAGGGCTGCAATACAGCCGTCTCTGAGAATACACTATGGGCTTTTTCGCATGTCGTTAATTCGCCGATGACAGATTAATGTCGTTCCTGAGAACATAACTTTCTGAGATCCCTTGAGTCCGACATATTGTGCTTGGGACGTAGGAAATCAGTTTTCTCGCCGGAGTTCACAACATTTTTTGACTCGCCCTCATGAAAAGGGTCACTAGACAATTGACCATGTAAAACCAATATAAACCCAATCGAGCATGTTCAATGATCCTTCACAATGCCTCGGAAAACCAACATGTCATGTTGCTTGTGTCAGGCATGAAGACGGCCGCCATTGTTCGGACTAGTAGCTTCGAGCTGCGAAACGTCTATAACATTGCAAATCGCTCCATACAGTCGAGGGAAACTACGGGCCATCCTCGAAGCGGCCGCCCACCCTACGTGACCACCTCGGAGACTGTCGACTAGGTGCGCTCCGAATTCGTCGCAACCCGGTTGTGTCCATGCGAAAAATGGCGAAGCAGCCGGAATCGGCCGAGGTGTGCAGAGTATCGTGGTGATGAAGTTGAAACTATCTAGTTACAAAATGAGGTGTCGACATTTTCTGAGCGAAGAGATGAAGACAGAGACTAGAAAAAGCTCGCCTGATCCGTCGTCTGGTCGGTTCTGGCTGCTTGGAAAATGTGCTCTTCACAAACGAAAACTTTTACGAACGAGCCTGTTCACAATCACCAGGATTGTCATCAGCTCCTCAGAAAAGGTCAGCAGAAGACAACGGCTGCTAAATTCGCCGGACGGACTCTTTGCAGTCAGGGTCTAGGTCGGAATCTGCGACATCGGGAAGATGCCTTTTGTCTTCATCGAGCGCAACCTTAAGATCGATGCTGTCAACTATCAAGAATGAATTTTCACGATGTACTGAAGCCATGAGCAGCAGCGGTCCAGATTGAATTGTGCTGCCTCAAGACTTGGATTTTGCACATTCTGCCAAATCCACGATTGCCGTTTGCGAAGAGTGTTCCCGGGATTTTGGAGCAAGGCCGTTTGGCTCCGAAGAGTCCGATTTAGACCTGACGGATAACTCCGCTGATCTTTCTTGGAGCAAAAAATCTCAGGAATCGGCTGCGCAACGGTGGTGGACCACCTGAATGCAGCGTTGCTAGATGTCTGGGACAAAATTACAATAGAAGAATGCGCGATCTTTGTCGGAGACTCCAAAAAGCGACTGAGCAAATGCATTGCGGCGGAAGCAGGCGATTTTGAATACATGCTGTGATTTCCAGTATACTAGCATTGCTATTGATTCAATAAAGATAGCCAATCGTTTAGTTTGCTGATTTAGTCATTTTAATGGTATGCTTGTAATACAGAATTATTTCGAGAAATTGCCAGAACTTTTTGGTCATCCTGCACAGGGGCGGCAAATTGGTGGTCAATGCAACCTCGTCACTCATTGTAAAACCGCGAAAGCGAGACAATCTCCGCGATTATTCACCAGATTATCGGGCAAGGAAAGCCTCTTACGACTCGTGACTGCGGGATCTATTTTCAAGCATATGTGGGTATAGCTTTGATGCGCGTATGACTTCTGAGCCAGTAAATTCATTATAAAATATGACTGTGTTGTATGTTTGTTGAATAAACAGATTAATTCAATGTTATGAATTTATCGGTAAGTTTGAAATACAACTTACACACCAACACACGCTAAATTGCAAGAACCTATAAAAAGAATTATTGGAAAATAGCGTAATAGTGGCGTTGTGAGAGTGAGACGAATGTACGTACGGGGTGGATGGTCGATGAGCACAAAATACAAGTGCACGACCATTGCACGATTCTAACAGTACAGATGGTGACGACATAAAAGAGGTTACTAAACATTACGAGGCAGTTAGTCTTAACAATTACGCTACGGGGGTGAAGGGATACTACCAGTGCTTAGCAGCGCTACGAAATGCGCCTAGATAGCGTGCGACATAACAGCCAATTTGCCTGCCACATTGGTACTACTGGCCGAATAGCTACAAAGGGTTACAGTTACACTATGTTCACCACGACTACGTGTGACACCGAAAGAGAACAGACTGGCAGTAGTCACCAATTACACATATATCAATACATAAAATATAAATGGCAATCGTGGGAACTGAAATTTTTCAGAAGTACATATGAAAATTCGTCTCGACACACACACACACTCACATGCACACATGTCAAAAGAGTAGATGATGCGGAATTTTTCACTCAAATTCTCTAATCATCTTCAAAGGATGAGCACGTTCATATCTGCATACATAGAACTGACATCATAATTAGTATTAGTAAATATAGTATATAAAATGCCCGAATATAAATCTCTCAAATAACAAAATATAACAAACTATAAATCTCCTCTCTAACATTGAGCCTAAAGCATGATTGTCTGTCTCTACTTTTACAACATGCCGGAGGAGTACAGCGCTGGGTATCAAGAAATAGATCCGTTAGATATCGCATGAGAGCAACAAAAACTTCGCTAAAAATAATCTGTAGCGGTGTGCTACCGTTACCGGGTGGTTTCTTCCATATACGGAACAACAAGGCAATGTGAGGGCGGGGCGGGGCGGCGCCCGCGAGAGCACCGTGGTGCGTACGTACATTATTTTGTCATGGTCGTCATAGTACATAAATAATCAATCCCCTAGTGGAAATACAACATATCACTGCAGCATGTCGACAGCTCGTTTTGAGCGTTTTCTTTTCGTGACGAGGCGACAGGTGTCAGGTGATGTTAGATCGTGCTAGACGTGTGCCACTGAAACAGGCGTATCCAGTGACATGCTCTTCGAGATTCGTTGCGAGTACGACGAATTCGTGTCCGGAGACCATTTCTGCACTAAAGGCACTTTTTCCAGCTTCACATTGCCAACAGCTGGTGATGGTAGCGCTGAGCTTCCTACGCCACCACCACCCCCATTTTCAACAACGATTTGCGGTTGTGGCGATGGAGTTCGTGGTTGCTGATGATGGTAATATGGGTAGGGCTGTGGCGACTGTCGATGAGAAAGTGCTGCAAGTGCAGCTCTGGTGCCGGCCGGGTCAGGACTTGAAGCCAACCGGGACCATCCACGCATCGATTGCACAGAGTGAGTTGAGGCAATAGAACGTCGTTCGTCGAATTCTTCCAGCGACGATCGGAACGCCTTCACAACTCGCAGCTGAAAGTGATGAATTGGTACAATGTTTCATGCCTACGGATGTACTCACATACAGCGCTAGGTGTCGGTATTGATTGCAGATTAGTCAAGTTACTGCTTCTAAAATAACCCCGTTGGATAGGGATGTTGTCATTAATCAAAAAACGCGCAGAAGAGTGTGCTTGTGGTCAGCGGTGCCGCTGATGACTAATTCTATCCAATTCCCCCATGTGAAGCAATCATTCCATCATGACTATTATCTTTCCAAGATTCCAGTCTAGGATGCGGGCACATCAACTGTTTTAAACCCAAATGCGCCGCCTATGATCACCCTCCAAGCTCTCTGAAGATGCAAAATAGCGGAAACCGAAACGAACGACCCTGTAAGTTTCGCCTCAGGATTTTTGAATCAGCAGCGGTAAGGCACAAGATTGCACAAGTGCCTCCGTCCACGACGACAGATATCTTGGTTGCTACTCGATTGCGCGCTTTCACGCCGCTGTTGTTTGGCCCCTTGCCCGAGAACCATATAGATTTTGGTCTCTCTCTTAGCACAAGGAAAAGCCTATTTCCACCGTTTTTTCAACTGTTTCCTTTGTTACTTTTTATTCACGAGCGGATAAGCTGCCACGTGAACTTTCATTTCTAACCCCTACACCAACGAACTTCTCGCTGGCTAATCGCGAATTCTCCCCCCTCCCCTCCTTAAGCTATTTTTATCTCCTCGAACTGCATTATCTGCTGAGATTGGCCTTATGAAACTCTCACTGAATCCACTCTTCTCTGTACCAAAAGAGCATACGTAGGATATTTTCAGAGTGTTCGGCGTGGGTTGACTAAACGCTAAAATATAAAGGACGGGGTCTGGATGAACCCTACAAACAATCTGCAATTGATACCGACAACCTGAACAATTCAATGCTTCTCCAGCCGATATCTACTTGAAGAACAAACAATTAACGAACTACAGCAACGACAACCATTCAAAAAAAACATCAAAAGAATGCAAGGCGACAACAGTTTCCTCTCGGTGTAAGAAACGAGGTAACGAAAAAAAGCCAATCTGGAAGCGGCTGCGACACGCGCGCACACACAAACGATTTCCTCGTGTTTCTGCACAGCTTTGCCTGCTTGTATCGAAGACGAGAGCGAACCAAGTCAGTCAACGACATTTCAACGCAAATGGCTGAGTTCGCGCGCGATGACAAGCAGGGAAAGCGTGAAGCACTAGATGGGGTGGCAAGGCGTCTTTGATGGCAGAACGCGCGGAAATTGTTGGATGAAATTGTTAATACAATCACATTAGGTAGAAGCCAAACCATCTAAACGCTCCTGCCCAACTAATTATCAATCATCTCCAACCAACAACTAATCCGCTGCAGGCGAAAACGAACGAAAACGGAAAATTGTCCCCACGGATCCAGTTTATACTGTTTGGTTGGTTCTACAAAAGGAATTTGCAACTTAGTTGAATATAGCTTCACATTCCAATTCAAACTTAGCGGAGAAGAATTAAGGGACTGATCGAAGTGATGTGAGTGGTAAAAACTAAAAGGCGTGCGAAAGCTGTTCAGAAAGTTAATCAAGGAAAACAAATTGATAGAGCTGTCTCACAACAAGGCTTAGCAACTCAGAAAATGATAGGGTGGGATTTTCTTTCCACTGTAGACTGATGATTTTTCTAAAAACCGTGATGGAATCGGTTTTGGATTCAAAAACGTTAGAGGGGCATTTGTAAGACTCGTTTTGAGACAACGGAAAAGCAACTAAATAATCATTTCAAAGCGTTAAAGAATTTATAGTGGAAAGCAACTGATAAGTGCATGCAAAGCGTCCGATTGAGATGTGTACTAAAATAGTTCAGCTTGGACATGAGGAAGAATTAGAAAGGATCGATGGAAAAATGGTAAGCGAAGGGAAGGAGAACAACAGGACGTAGCGATTGTAGTAGTGACAACAGTCTGACTTCTTGTATCACTGCACAAGAGAGTGCTGCCATGAACTGTTGGAGCATGTAGTCCTAAGAGTGCATATTTCATTTCTTCAAGACTACGTCACAGCACAGACGTTCGGCTGCAGTTCAAGAGCGCTTAGTCTCAGCACCGCGCGCAAACCAGCTCCCATCTAGCTGACACGGCACAGCACTTTATTCCCATTTCACTAACAAGGGAATGGTTTGAACTTCCCATGGAACTTTCGAATGGAGACCTAGGTACATCGATAGAGCCTCGAATGCTGATTACGAATATGCAGATTAAAAGTGCTACGGGGACCTCCCAGACGAGATCTGGGTGGTCAAAGTTTGCGAAAAGTCAGTTTTGGCTCGTAAGCGCTGCTGATCGATGTCTCGGCAGTGCCACCGTGGCCTTGTGGTAACGGTCTCGCTTTCAAGTCAAACGCTCGCGGGTTTGCATCCGGTTGGCGCGAAAATTTTTGCTTCGCTCCCTAAGCTTTTACTCTAATTTTCAAATTCTTCCGAGTTTACGGCCCAGCAGGGCAAGTAGATCAAGTATATGACGTACTCGATCTAGTATGGATTTGGTCATATCTGCCCTCTCTGAACATATTACCCATCCGACAATTCAAAGTTTTGCCCAGAATCGCATTTGGACGAGCGTTTTTTCGTCGAAGGATGTGATATTCGTGTTCAGGGGGTCGAAATCTCCCATGAACGAGTTTCTCGCCAAAACTTTGAATTGTCGGATGGGAATATGTTCAGAGAGGGCAGATATGACCAAATCCATACTAGATCGAGTCGTCATATATGATGTACTTGATCTACTTGCCCTGCTGGGCCGTAAACTCGGAAGAATTTTGAAAATTAGAGTAAAAGCTCTTATAGGGAGCGAAGCAAAAATTTTCGCGCCAACCGGATGCAAACCCGCGAGCGTTTGACTTGAAAGCGAGACCCTTACCTCAAGGCCACTGCCGAGACATAGATCAGCAGCGCTTACGAGCCAAAACTGACTTTTCGCAAATCTTTGACCACCCAGATCGTCTGGAGGTGCACTTTTAATCTGCATATTCGTAATCAGCATTCGAGGCTCTATCGATGTACCTAGGTCTCCATTCGAAGTTCCATGGGAAGTTCAAACCATTCCCCTGTAAGAGTTTATACGGACGGCACAGCTGTCAACTGTCAGCCGGGGTCCTGCTGACCGTAACCGCTTCCTCCACTTCGCCTCTGCAGTCCATCTTTCATACTGGGCAGCTTTCAAAGCCACTCGTCATCTTGATTGACGTACTCAATTGACCTACCCTGGCAAGGCATCCACACAGACGTGGAATTACGTATTGACAACATAACTACGCATTCTTGTCTGTTTCTGAGCCCATTTTCGACTTCTATCGCCCCACCCTTCTTTCCCAATACTACTTGGCTACTTGTGGTTGAAAGCAGTTCTGGGATGAGAATGTTTGAATGCTGATAAAAACCTACTCCAATGCAGCTTGCAGTACATTAACATTTGCACTCGCGAGGCAGGTAAAATTCATTCTCTTTGCTGTAGTCTATTGATAAAATATTACTACACCCATTAAACAAGTATTCCTAGGAAATGCAGATCAATAATGGTGTCTGCAATAGTTGGGCAAAGGAATTGAGAAGCTCAGGAACAGACAAATATTTCTACCATGGTCAATCACACGAAATTCGTGTCTATGCTAGCATCTTAATGTAGTTCGATCAAGCACGTCAACCAAGATGGTGAGCCATTTGGAAGAGTAGTCCGGTGCAAAAGTTGGACTGCAGAGTCGGGGTAGAGCGGCAAGCTACGGTCAGCTGCGTCATTCCAGATCTCCTCACTCAACTCAGGACGGCCTATGTTTTACACCGTTTATTGCGAGCTTTCCGAAAATTTGGCGACGAGCAATCATCCATTCACATTTTGAGGATCATTGAACGTATGACTGCCATTCTACAATTAAAACCGTCAATAACGAAACCTGACAATTCCACTGCCAAATTTCTTGAGCTGAGGCCATGAAATAAGCATAATATGAGGTAGGCTGCCACAATTGGTTTGACAAAGTGCTACACCAAGTCAACTATTATTAGCTTGGATAAAACGTCTCCGCGGTTTTTCGCACCTTTCAACAAACATTTTTATTAAAAATCAATTTCAATCAAATACATAGTGAACAGTATTATTTGACCTTTTGTCATTTATCTGGTAGTTTCATAATTCCACTGGTGTATGACCTTTTGCGGTTTATCACCGAATAACTTGACCGAGTGATTTTCAGCAGCGCTTCCATTACTCAACTTCTTACCACCATGGGAGTTTTGCAGAGATCGAAGCAGATGATAATCAGACGGTACAAGGTCTGGATTGTACGGTGGATGCATAATAACTTCCCAACCAGCCACGTCAATTTGTTCCGAGTCATCAAAGATGATGCCCAGAGCGAGGTGTATCTTTTACATCCGGATTCCGGAACGGAATGAAACAAATCATTCCTGGGTCCTTCGTTCACTGAAGCATTCTCACCGTGCACTTCACAGATTTTTGGCATGGTCCTGAAGCGGTTGTGCTTTTTTATGATAAAAAAATTACTTATCGCGTTTCCCCAGATAATTCACTCATTTTCAAATTAGCATATTTTTTTACACGAGCATCGACTTAGATGACTATCTTGGCAGGATGTGAGCTAGGATGTTGCTTTCTGAGCATATCTATGGTCAAGACAGTCAGGTGAGTACTGCTCTAGATAAGACCTCAGAACCAGTTGGTGGCGAAAAACTGCGGACACTTTTTATCAAATAAACGCATAGTAATGCTGGTTTGCGCCCAGTTGCCGCTGGCATTTCTCGAACTACACCCCAGACGTTGAGCTGCATGAAGCTAATAGAAAACCATCAGGCCAAAGGACAAGAGGCCCGATATGGCGAGTGCTGATCAAGTGCAATGAAGAAGATCCAGCAAAAATGAAATGTGCACGCACAACACGCTTTTCATGGAAAAATAGAGCCACATGTGGCCGTGAACGGTAGGAAATGCTGGAGAGTTTAGCGAGGGAAAACGATAAGCGAACTTACCATCAATGAAATCTTCTCAGACTCTCGCACCATTTACGCCATTAACACGGCCAAAGACAATGCCCAACGAAACACTGTTAGCAAGCAGCTACTCAGCAGTCTTTGTTCGTCCAAGTGTTATAGGTGTAAGGGGTTGGAGATGCTGGGACCGTAAAAACACGCAAAGCACTGCAAACGCGTTCTGCACTTGACGTGCAAGCCTTTCTACACCCGCTTCTTAGCACAGCACAAGATTATTCGACAGAAACATACAGTCAAGTTCTCTTCGGGCGAAGAGGCGTTCCTACGTCCACGTTGGCGATCGGTCCGACGACTGTGTGTCGCTGGAATGCATGCCTTAGCGCTCTCTGACAGCGACTCTATGCTAATACACGCGCCCGCGCGCAATCTATGCACTGTTCCGTCTGGGCTCTGCCGATCAGTAATGGCTGACACGCTCGTCAACTGATTTATGCTGTATTCAGCTTTTGAAAGCTGAAATCGCACCTCGTCCGACTGTGGTAGGAAGGTCAGTATGTTTACTGAAGTTTGATTCTATTTTGCATGAATTCAGTATGCTTTCTCTTTTTGAAAACTGGTTTCTTCTCACAATTTTCGTTTTTTTTTCAAATTTTTCTCGAATGTCGTTGATTGATTTCAATGTAATTGACTAAGATCACGCAGAAAGAGCTCTAGCTTCCGAGTGACCGTTCCTTGCTAAAGCCGGACAAAGAATTCCAGCTTTTAAAAGTTGAATACAGCAGAACTCAGCTGACTAGGCGCTGCCATTTTCGATCGGCGAGAGTTCAGACGGAAGGGTGAGTGGATAGTGCGCCGGCGTGGGTCTGCGCAGAGTCGATGTTAGTGGGCGCAGAGACAGTGAAGATAATAGTCCAGGACCTCCGCCTTTGCCTAGGCACGCAGCCGCCGGACCGCTTGTCAGCACTCACGCAGGAACACCCTTTCATCCGAAGAAAACCCGGCTGTATGCAAATAACAACTTCGTCGCGATGCGCGCCATTGTTACGACTGCGCTGGATTTTCGAATATGCTGTGTAGTGGAAGAGTAGAGGAAGGTAGAGGTAACGGTGAACGAGGGAAACGTTTAGGTGTTATCATTGCGCTGCTGTGGGTAGATGACGGTTTGAAATGGACTGTGAATGAAGGAGGGAACACAACATGAACACGAAGTCGTGTCGACACTTCAATTATCCGTTTTTCTGTCAATTCACCTGAACCTTTTCTCATCAACAGTCATCATCAGCAGCAGAGCAGCAGTAGCAGCAGCTTCACCACCGTCATTGAGCAGCAGCCTTGCACCCCGTCATCTCTCTCCCTTGAGAGAGTTCTTATCCATGAGCTTGAGCTTTGCTGCACCATTCTCCATCGTCTTGCCACCCCGCACAAAACTCAACAATTTGGTCCCAGTTTTGAGGTACTGCAGCAACGAGGGCATCGCGCCATCACTCCGCTATCAAATTATCAAAGTGATTGTGTGTGTGTGATATCAGGTAAAGAGGTAAACGTACACATCAGGCACACACCTACGAACACGCAGACCGTAACCAAACAAATATTGAACGAACTTCATCATATTGCTATGCTAGCCGTATAATCAACGTATTCAACCAACATAGCTCTATAGAGTCCAACTTATCAGGCTGCATCTCAACACATCAACCGATTCATCATTTTTTTGGCAACAGACACAGACGAAAACACGCAGACGACACTTTTCTGAACATCGGCGACGCAAACGGTACTGTTCAATTTTTTGCTTGAAATAATGACGCCTTGTTGTTAACAAATTAGGTAGAAAAACAACCCACGACACAACAATCAGAACAAGAATGTTCTCTCAACGAAGGCCACCGCCTTCTCAGCCGGTCCGGTGGCATTGCGCAGAAATTGACTATAGACAGACAACAGCTACGTGCTGTCGCTATATTCGTGAGGATGGAGTGTAAAGATATCAAATAGAAAAATTGGAAAAAATAAGTAATTTGTAAAAATGTAGTAATAATGCTTCTCGTTCGACTACACGGTAGGCAATTGAAAGCTTGACGTGTTGTCTAAATAACGATCAGAAGCACGATGACAGCTAGTGATTCGAAAGTTGAGCAGAAGAGCAGAGCCACTTGCGGGTTCCGGCACTATTAGCCCTTTACTTAATCATCCGAAATCAGGCTTTCTGACCGACTTGTTTCCTCCGCAGGCATAAACGGCAAAAAAATTGTACCTCAGGGTAGTTTGACCCCCTGGACACGAATATCACATCCGCTTGGCGCGAAACCTCCGGGCGCATGCACCACAGGCAGCGGCGCCAAACACCCCAAATCACTGAATCCGCCGAAAACTAGCTCGTAGGGGTAGTCTGGCCTCCCGAGACGAATATCGCATCTGTGTGGATGTTGAGAGGGTTCAGCATGGAGTCAGAGGGGTACACGGATAGTGCAAGCTGCATCTGCTCGTCTGCACCCTTCCCCGAGTGGAGGATCCATTCCTCTGCTACACAGACAACCAGGAAGAAGTGCTGCCGTTCTTCACCGTTTCCATAACAGCCCTACCACAACTCCCCGCACTTAAGCGACGGAATCTTTGCTACACGCGCCGGAGTCGAAACAAAGAAGAGACGAGCCGCTTGTGTCGGCTGTGGCGTCAGTTTTCGTGTTGAGCGAATGCGATATTCGTGCTCAGGAGGTGCCCATCCCAGTTGACAAGTTTTCAGCGATTTTGGTGATCTCCAGTACTGTAGCGCCAGCGCTTGGGCGCGGGCACTAGGAGTTTTTGGGTTGAGCGCATGTGATATCCGTGTTCAGGAGGTCAAACTACCCCTGGGAACAACTTCTTAGCAGAGTCTGTCTGCAGAAGAAGTCAGTCAAAAACTGGCTTATTTCTGGATGATTGCAGCGGTAAAGGGTGAGTAATGCCGTAGCTTCTCTTACTTCACTCTCTTCACATGGTGACATTCAGAAAAAGGGTAGTCCAAGTCATGAAATGTACTGTGAGAGTGAAAGCGAAGAGCATAACGTTGTGGCTGTACTCCACGACAAAACCAATGCAACGTAATGCGCTTACACTTGAAATTACTACGTCAATAAGCCGTTCCGCAGGAATGACAGTGTCTATAGTGTGTTCTAATCTATAATAAATGAGGAACAAGCGTACCAACTATTCTATTGCATAAAATTGCTGATATCTGTTGGTGAAGGTGGTGACCTGCGAAAGGATTGGCGCAACTGTACAGGGATGAAATTTTCTGGACCAAGGAGACAATTTTCCGTCTGTCCAAGTCTGACAATGCATCCGCCTCGCCACACAAATATGTTTGTGCACATATTCGTCAAGATACTCGTGAACTCTGTGAGTGTGCGGCATCGCGGCGGCGTCTCACACACCGGCCCTTTTAAAGTTTACACTCCCTCCTCGTTGCCTGGGAGGCATTGTGCCCTCGACATTTCTGATGTTTCTCACCACCAGCAATCAAATCGACACTCATGAAGATCGGGAAAGCCTTTATTAGTAGTCTTGTTGCGTTGCATGGGCATACATTGCAAAAATCGAGAGTTTGATTCAAAAGTACGGCTGGTTCTGGACTTCGAAAACCTCAAGTAAATAGTCAAAGTCACATTCCACGGGAGATGGATTCATCGAAACACTGTGTTCTTCTCATTGGTGGTATTCCCTCTCATGATAGAAAGGATGGCGCACCAATGACGAAGGCGCAGTGGTTCAAATGACTCCCCCCCACATGAATGATCAGAGTGTGCCTGGTTATGATTATCTTTATCGCATTTGATTAGCACTATACATCAATCCCGATAGGAAATCATTGAAATCCCTCATCTAATGATTCCACGAACCCCGCCCGGATTGAAATCCAGTGTCTTTCTCTGACATATGAATCTGGTACATATCAATCCACACAGCCCCAAGGGATTCAAGGTTTGATTAGCCCACGACGTCGAGTCGTCTAACGCAGTGTTTGCCCACAATATCTGCTCGTCACCCTAGGATAGTTTGTTCCAATCTCCAGAAAATAAGTTTAAATTCTCGCATTTGAAAGAGAATAAATCAAGGAAGGAGGCGATTTCTTTCGCACAAATCCCAGTTCCAACACGATGAACCACCACATGCGATCACTGGAGAGGTCAGAAACCTTGAAAATTTATTCCGTTTCATGGAAATGAAACAGTTCATCGGAGTCAATCTAACAATTATATGAGGCCTAGAAGTATCCCTTAGCAATAACCTCAGAGGCGAATATCACGTGAGCGCGTAGGCGGGACCATCTCATAAGCAATCACCACAGGTGCATGAGGATAAATTGCCAATTGAAGACTCAATAAATAGCGTCGATGCACCCATCGAATTACTGAATATTTCGCCCATGCACCCACACATTATCGCTCACAAGTGAGGAAATATTCCAGCTCATTAACAAGGAGGGGGGGGGGAAACAGGCCGTGGAGTCCACTTTTGAAACGGTTTGTTGCATGTTGTAGGAGCTTATGCGGAGACCGCAAGGTGCAGTTTACTTCCATTGCGCCCTCCCGGTAAGGCTCAAGAAATGCTAATGTTCAAATCCCCTACAAATTTTGCAATCCTGCAACTTCTAATTTTTTTTTGTGATCATGTGAGTCAGAATTTCAAGAAAAAAATTTATTTCAGGAAAAGAAGTTCCCTGTCACCGAGTTCGTCGCGATCTCATGGAAATTTTTTCGCTCCTTTTTAGCATTACCTGAGAGCATTAGCACCCAAAAGAACTCTACCTCAGTGGTAACCGCGGGTCTTATTCATTTTAATCATTTCAACATGAGCTCCGAGGTTCTTAATGGGTGCGAAGATGGTGAAGGATTGAATTTACGCTGCCTGAAATTTCATTGCCATTTTCGTTCCAAGCTTATAGGGTGTTGAAGAGCAGGATCTATAGGTTCTTGAAGAATTCCAGGACTAGCGCCCAAAATACTAATCGAATGTGCTAAGGAGCGTCTAACCTTATGACCCATAAAGACACGCCTTGCGTTAAAAGAGGGTCACTTGTGCAGCTGAAAAAGAAACAACCTAAAATTACAAGATGGCGAATTACACAAAAGTGAAAGAAAGCACTTAAAACCAGCCTGAAATGCCTCATACAGGACTGCATGCTTAACCGTATTCGCACGTGCATAAGGCGATGAACGGGCATGGTCGGACGAGTTCTCTTTTGTTGGCGCCAGCTCCTCCTTATCACCTCACTCCCACTATTTGGAATGAAGCGTTACGGAACAACCTCAGGTAGCAGTAAAAAAAATGAAAGTTGGGTATCCAAGATTATCATCAATGAGCGAGGTCGTGGTTCCATCGCGAGCGGGCGGCGCTTTCTTCGTGTATTTTTGAGCTGTGGGAGCAATACATCCTCCTGGCTAATCGAACTACCATTTCTAAAGAAAGCATCTGGAGACTGCGCCGGCCTACAAGCTAAACTGTTAAAAATGGTGGATTGACGCAATATGAAGGATCTCATCTCTGCCCCGAACATGCTAACTCCAAGTCCTGATCTGAGCATTATCAACTTACTCCTTTGGAGCAGCACAAAGTGCCCTAAGCTGGCTCTGCCCAAGGCACTGAAAGGAAATGACAACGACATTTTGCAGCGCAGTATTCATATTTCGCATTTCTGCCCTCTTTATGAACTTACTGATGAACGGTGAAGCACACAGCACAATTGATGCCTTGTGCAGCTAATTTCCGACATTTTCACGGTAAAGTTAGTTATTTTCTGATACTATTCGACCCATTTACTCAGTGCGTTTTAGTGCGCCGGCGTTTCTATACATCCATTATACCAGCAGTCTTCATGAATGTCGCCTTTGAATGGTGATGATGAGGTTTTTGATGATCAAATTTGCACCACCTTCGTCGAAGAGTATAGCTATTTTCAGATATACTGACTGATCAGCATTGAATCGAACAGCACAAAGTGCTGCAACAGAAAATTCCTCCTCTTAGATACACAGCACATGCCGCGGAAAATGAATTCAAAAGTGGCTTCTAATCTGCTAGTCTGTAGTTAGATTTGCCTATACCTAACGTGGGTAACTAGTCATGTGTGCTTTGTCAATCTACTCGTCAAAATTTCTCTTGTTTTCGGCGAAACTCGAGCAGCACTGAGATAAAAGAGGGGAATCACTGACTCTTGTATGAAAAATTCAAAATTAAAGTGGAGGCTAACCCTCACTCAGAAGCACGTACCTGCGTCTGAAGGCGCGTTAAGCCACGCACCCACAGTATTTGTCCTGATCGCTTCTCGTGCGTATCCGGGTCTTCATAGTCTGGCATCAACGGGTCATTGGTAGGCGCTTCACCAGAACCTATCGTCATGTTCTGCGGGAGGCTGCCAGTCGGGATAGACGTGACCAGCTGAAACAGCAAAAATACTCAGAACCTCACAAAAAGCCGTGAAAATCCGTAAACTTTGATGCAATAATAAACAATGTGAATTTCTCACACACATGAAACAATTCAGAAAACCAGATTACCTGTCCCCAGAGCAATGTGCCTACACCTAAGGCCAAGCACCACAACCACTGTTCGATGTTCAACGCTGCTGTGCTGAACCAACGGCCACCAAATTGCACGATAAGGATTTGTGAGACGAATGTAGCGATCCAAATTATATAGTAGATGGGATTCGAGAACAAACCCTGCAAACAGTTTTATGAAACGCGGATGAAGAGAACAGTATAAATAGCCAAATACCACATGAAAACAGGAAAAGCCGCGACACAACACACCCCGTCCCCCTCTTTACAACGTCCGTGAAGCGAGAAACAATCACTGTTAAAATAAATTATTTCACAACCCAAATACGCACCCGTTCCGGGCGCAGGCAAATACGACCCCCCCCCCAATGTTGGGGATTCCCCAACAACGATGTGTCCTGAGCCCAACACGCATACAGCGATTTACATCACTGCCGCAACGTCATCGATGCCAGGCCGCAATCATAATTCGCGACTTCTGCGACTCAGCCGCGCAACTTGGCAGCCGCGCGCGCCACCTCTTATCGTTGGTTCGCTGCAACGGTCGGAAGAAGTTCTATCATGAATGCGATTGAATTTTCGGTTCAATGAGTCGCGGTGAGTCGCGTGTCGGTCGCAATCACGGATTGGGAATCGCTCGAGTAGTGAAGTTCGGATGCAGCCTTAAAGGCACGCTCCGCGTTCACATGATGTGCAGACGCCGTCCTTGCTCAAGATGTCCGGTCCACATGCATCGAGCATGTAAAAATTTTCGCGGCTCAAAAGCACATGTTCAGGCACTACCCGCTTCTGGCGAAGGCATTGCCCCGCCCACTGCCCCACACTACGCCCATTCCGTGGTCGTGCGGTAGCTCCGCTACTAGCTCTTTCCATTCTGAATGACGAGCGTGAGGTGATGGGGGAAACTAGATGATATATTTATGGTAGAAACAAGTGAGAGCTCGTCGAAACGTGCTCTCATTTCGCCTTATGCTCGTACAAGCTCGGTTTGGCAGTGGGTCCTATCTAGAGCATTTCGGAAGGTTTTCTCTGCTCTTGCTTCACTATTCACTTGACTACCGCCTCGCTACACATACTTGAACCCCGCAACCTCTCTTTCTGATCAGGTGAGTCATTAAAGATACGCCTCGCATTCATTCGATGCGCAGACTTTCCTTTTTTGCCTTCTTTAGAAATGGTGGTCCTGCCAGCAAGCATGCAGGATGTACTATTCACAACTCAAAAATACGTTATGAAAGCGCGGCTCGCTTGCGACGAGACTACGACTCCGCTCACTGCCACGGCAACGCCCAACTTTCGTTTCTTATTGCTAGGTAATGGTGCGTTTGTTCTACTACTTGCTCTCTCTACTCGTATGATGACAGTGAGGTGATAAGGAGATAGAGCTGGCACCAGCACATAAGAAATCGGTCTCCCTTTCCTTGCCTTACAAATACTACTCAGCATGTAGTTCTACATGAGACATTTCAGCACTTTCCCTCCACTTGAGCTTGGCCTCAGACAAAAAAAATAATGAGACGTCAGCGACATAGTGTCGGGCCTAAGATGTACCCCAGTGGACTGCGGACCAATGTTACCGTCCTACTTGCAATGGAGCCCCACTCAGCCTTGAGAATATACTGAGTGAGCCTAGGTGAGATCAGGGCTGAGATCCAGTCCCTTACCCTTTCAGGCATGATGATATCAGCGCTGAATGTGCGAGGGAAATCGCAGGCCATTCGTGCGCCGAC